CTTTCCCTAAGTCTTCTTTTCATATTTATCCTTGTTCAGAAGGTGATGTGCAAGTAAGCTGCTAATTAATCCAGCTGTATTACACACCAAAAATGGGTGCCAGCTCAGTTCCTTTAAGTCATGCAGGGCCAAAAGAGGATTCAGCTGCCTAATACCCACGTTTACTCCATTGGTGAAGATATCATTTATTCTCAGATGTGCCTTTTTCCTCCAAGTACAGCAGGAAAGCCAGAATCTTGTGGCTTGCTTAGTTTGGGGACCGTCAGTGAAATGTAAAGAAATAAAAGCAGCAGCCCAGTTAATAAGTGGCAATAGCATATGTGATGCAGTAAACCAAAATGATCCTGGTTAGAACACTAGTAGGTTCAGCATTAGCTTAGTCATTCAGGAGAACAACAAAAATTACATTTTTCTTCTGCCACTGAAACAACAAATACACTTTAAAGGCTGAAAATTACAATTTAACTACACAAACACAAGGTATTTTGAGGAACCACACTGTGTTCTTTAGAACAGTGTAATCTAGAACTTTAGATTTTCTAGGGGAAAAAAAAAAATTCTCTTGTCAAGATGCTCCTCACATGCACATGCAATTCCACCTTGATCCCTTGTTAAAAACCTGTCACTGAGACAACACTTGCATTGACTAGTTGCCTTAAAAACGCTTGAAAGGACAAACTAAATTTGCTACTCTTTAAATATATACACAAGCAGAGACATCTGAGATCTTTTTGGACAGGCTGCCTTACAATTTGTGGCCAGAACTATTAAAGCCAGGGATTGACACTATTGGAGGAGAGGTACTATCTCTATTTCTACATGTAGAAGCTGAGAGACTCTCATAAATATCACTACAGAAAGGATTTTACATGCCTTTATAGCAAAATACCTGGGGTAGAATTCTTCATAGAATTGTTAGAAATGGCTAAACTATTTCTTGCCACTGGTCTCAGATGAGGTGCTCGGACTTGACCTGCGATATTGATCCATTTCATCCAGCACCTGTTTTCCTTAGTTCTGTTAAACAGCAATCAATTCTAATCGTAAGTCAACCAAAGTAAAAAGACAAGGCACATAAAGAGACTGAAAGACCCGAGCCAGCTGTCAAGTGTGGCTACTGAGACAGTGGTTGGGCTAACTGTATTTTGGGGAGCCACAAGCATCCAAAGGCAATGTGTGATATCCCATGGAATGAGATGGATGAAAACATTTATCCTGTGCTTTAAGTCTCAGCTTGTTTGGCTCAGCCTTCTGTAAGACCTAAGCTGCTGGTGGCAGTCTTGTTTATCGCTTAAATGATCACTTTGCTGCAGCATGTTAAAAGCTTGGTTTATTACCAATAAAGGGAAATAATGAGAAATCCATTTGAGGCAAATAGTTCTAATGGAGTTTTCTTCATTGACCTTTATGAATCTAAAAATTATGTGGCTCTTTCTGCCTTCTCTATTTTCTTGTTGTTGTTTTTCCCTTCCAGATAAGGGCAAATAGTTCACTTGCGCTTGAGATGAATGATTAGCAAAGCCAGCGGTTTGCCGTTTTTTCCTGTAGCTTGCATAAACTTCAGTAGAGATCAACCTTCATAATTAGCACATGCAAATATTTGTGGGGCAGTACATGGGGTTAACTATTGACCAGAAGATGCAATTTCCATATAGTCACCTGTTAGAGCAGACCAGGGCAGGAATTTGGTTCCATGATGAGAACACTCCCTACTTTTAGAGTTTGGTCGATTCAGTTTTCCGTTCACATAGCATTCCTACAGAATGTAAACAACTTCAGAAGAAATGTTCTGAGAAAGTTTTAGCAGAACGTGCAGGAACAAAGAAGAGGGGTTCAGAAACTCTTGGCATAACAGCAAGTGCCCACTGATCTGAGATTTTTATATCTGCAAGCAAAAAATATGCCAATTATATGCTCTCCAACTACACGCGATTTCAACGTTCGAAAAAGCATCCAAAATTTCTTAGTGGCTGTGTTTACCTGTGGCCAGTCCAAACTAGATCTTTTACTCCTTTTTTTCCACTTTTAATAACTAATATTAAGTAACTTTCTGTCCACAGATAGCAGCCCAAGAAGGAAATGTGCTGATTAAAGAATATCGCTATGAGAAGGCTCTTGGTTATTACACCCTGGCCGTCTTGACAAGCAAAGATAATCCAAGGCATCTCCGACAGAGAGCTGCTTGCCTTATGCACCTGAAGAAATATGACAAAGCCTTAAAAGATATGGAGAAAGTGATCCAGAAGCATGGCCATAACAGCCTTAAAACACGCGTTGAGGACCACTGCTCAAAAGGACACCTGCTATTGTCAATGGCTGAGGAGGAAGCAGCAGTTAAGCAGTATATTGAGGCACTGCAGTTGGATGAATCTATGGCATTGTGCAGCATCATGAATGACCCTGGCAATGAAATTTTAACCAAAACATTTCATAAGATTGCACAATATCATTTTGAAATGCAGCATTATGAAGAGGCCTGGAAAATCACAGACTATGGTCTTAAAATTGATAAAAATACTGAACTTAAAAAGTTGAAAACCAGACTTAAGCGAGAGGCATCAAGCTGTAGCATATATTAATTTATCTGGTTTGGGATTTTCCAGTGTCCGATTGCTTTCTAGTTTGTTTGTGAGGCTGCAAGAATAAAGGAAAGATGAGAAGCTCATGATAACTATGCAATGGACACGGCACCGAACACGGTACAGCAAGATTAGAAGTAGGCTAAAGTTTCAGGTAGAGAAACAAAACTGACCGAGAGACCTATGAGAAAAAGGCAAATTGCAGTATTCAGTATACATACATCCACATTAATTTTAAAGACGACTCCCCCTTGTGAAGAAAGTGCTTTGTCTGGCTAAACTGAACTAATTCTAACACATGGGTTCCAATCATAGCGAAGGCAAATGTTTAAATAGCTTGCAGTTTATGAATAATAACCGTGTATTTCCTTGCTATTTATTTTATTAGCTTTAACACATACTGTAAGTAACTAAGTAGCCTTAGTTTTATGGGCCAGTTAAAAAGATCAGTCAAAAGTACCATTTGTAACATGTTTGTGAAGGACTGTATGTGTTACACCACTCTGATGACCCACTCCTGAATGGAAGGAACTGCCCTTGTCATAATCTAGTGGATTTGCAATGACCGGCACCAACATAGGAGAGTGGAGCAGTACAAATGCCAAGAAATCTGTTTTTCTGTTCCAGGGAACATGGATAATGTGAACGATGAGACTCAACAGAGATGAAACATCCAATCTAGTGACTAATGCCCAGTTATCTGGGACACACAGGCAGCTATACTCCAGACTTCACCTTGGACTTCCAGCTCCCAATGTCTCAGTTTGCCAGTGCAGATAATGGAGATAATCTCTCAGTAGGGGCGTCTACAAGAGCCTGCTAAATATCATCTTCCACACTCCTGGATATTTGTGCACAAAAGACAGCCCTGGAGCATGAACTAATCAAGAAGTGATCAATGTGCAAGTAGGAGGTTGGGGTTGGAGGCAACAGCAAAGATGGTAATGTGATTGCCCTGCAGTGATCCAGCACTCATTCTTCAACATCCGTGCTGGACAGCACGGGAATCAACATCTCACATGCTCTGAAGGGTTTTGCCTGCTGTCACCTATATAGTTTCACCACCTGTAAGGACAGCTAGACTTAGGGGGCCATGCAGAGATAGTGCCAACATACCCAGTTTCTGCACGATTTGGCATTTCATCTGTGCAGTGGGAGTCTACAGCTTAATTTGGAAGCAGTATGCCTATGCTGTGCAAAAAGGAAACAATGAGACGAGGCCCAAAACAACAGACTTGTATATTTGTTTTGACTGCTTCAAGTGAATTCTCCCAATGTTTTTGGAGTGTGATAATACAACCGTGGAGAAAAATAAAAACTACTATTGAAAACAAAGATTAAAGCAATACTGAGAGCTGCTCTCCTGCTTTGATGAGGATGAAAGGGAAATAGAGCATTTTTCTTTTTTGTTACGTTGTTTTCTGAAAGCCAACATTCCAGAGTGGAACTTCATTCAGCAGACGTGCAATCAACCCTATAAGCAATGATACCATCTGTACCCTTGCATCTTTTTCTTTTCTCCGCATGCTCCTTTTTTACTTCCCTAAGAGCACAGGTAAGAGTGGGCTTCTATCCTTTCAAATTCAACAGAAGTTACTCTGATTTTAATCCTAGTGACACTGATGAGTACTTTTTGCTCCTAACTGGCATCAAGATGCTACAGGATAGTTTCTTTCCAAGCACAAAATTGTATCCTTAAACAAGTGGTGGCTACATTTGCAAGCTGAAATAACTTTGCTGATTTTTCTTCAAATAGTAATCAACAGATAGGAATTTCTCTGTGTCTCATGGTAAAATTTTTGAGAAGCAGTTGTTTAGGACTTTGGGATTTAGGTTTGTTTTTTTTTTTTCCCCAATTCTTGTTTTGGGTTTTTGATTGACTGGAATAGTAAATCTCTTTACAGCTTCACATTGCTATTCTGTTAGCATTCCCTCTTTTAGTTGCAGGTTTGGTCAGGGTCACTCAGCCGACATATTCTCTTTTTAGCCGTTTGTCCTCCTGTGGCTTTTAGAATAGAATAGTTCCAGTTGGAAGGGACCTACAACAATCATCTAGTCCAACTGCCTGACCACTTCAGGGCTGACCAAAAGTTAAAGCATATTATTAAGGGCATTGTCCAATTGCCTCTTAAACACTGACAGGCTTGGGCCATCAGCCACTTCCAGGAAGCCTCTTCCAGTGTTTGACCACCCTCTCGGTAAAGAAACTCCTACTATCTAGTCTGAGATGTCTATGTCTGTACTCTCATTATATAGACAATTGACACAACGTACAGTCTCCTTTGCCACAATTAATATTGCTGAAGATGTTACACAGGCATGGAAATCTAGACACACAAAGAACAGACACACAGGTGCTCAGCTGCGCTCAAAGTGAAATAACTTCATTACAGAGACCATGAATCTGGTTCTCCTCCCACTTATCCATGCTGACAGATAGGAATAATATCAGTACAAAATCTGCATGAAGAAGGAATCAGGGTTTAAATCCAAACGAGAGGAAAACAGTCCACACAGCCTACTGGATTAGTAGCCTCCCTGCTGAGAGAAACAATACCAACTTTATGAATTTTACTATTTCTAAAAAACTGAGCTTTTCTTAAATCCCAAGTCTTTTCATTATGTAAAAGCAGGATACTCAACTTTTCTCAGACCACCTGGTAGTCATGGAAGGTACTGGGAAGACAATCTAGTCGGCCTGTCTCCCAAGCTAATATTCCATTCGTTAGCCTGGGCCGCCGCCTCAGAAGTTTGGGGGGTTTTGGCATGTTTTCTTTTGTTAAGTAATATATTCTTCTTTGCTGCTCTGAATAGAGCACATTTATTGCTCTTTTTAAAGGAATTTTTCTTTAAAAATGGAGACTACATGCACCCTTGCAAGATTGCTATAGAGTTATGCTGAGAAAAAAAAATCTTTTCAGGTGCCTATAGCTGCTGTTTCTTTAAGCACCAGGAAGGCACATAACTTGTTATCTATTCCTCATGGTCTAGATTAATATTAATATCTGCTTCTCTCAGCAGATCCTAACTGTTCTCATCAGCATTTTTTTGTTTGTGTCTTTATCTGCTTTGTCCTCTTTCTGCGCCCACTAAACTACTGTGATCAAAGTCCTTCTCTTTGTCTGTGCCTAAGCTTCTGATTTGTTCTTTATTTCTCCATTATGTGCTTGCTCTTCCAACTAATTTCTTGGAATATCAAATAGATCTTTCTGATTAGTCACAGTGACTGATTAGCAGCATCTCTGCATTAGGCATGCCCAGCACAATTTCACACTCACCACAACCCATTCTGACACTCATTTCCTGGAGACTTGGGGAGCAGGCAGGATTAAATGTGAACCATCTATTTCAACTAGTCATGCCCAGTCCATGCTCCTAGTGGCCAAAAGCATCCCTACGCCTGCACATTCGCATACCTCCACCACTCTGTTACGCTATGCTTTGCCAGAAGATGGTATCTTCCCAAAAAACCAACATGCTGCAGTTTGCAGGGAAGGAGCCCTTTCTGAGTACCCAGCATTTTCAACAGACGATCATCACCACTGGCTTTGCTTATAATTCAGGCTAATTATGATCTTTCATTCGGTGCTAGTGAGGCCATGAAGACCATTTAAGATGCCTTAATAGGATCACTGTGCTTGAGTCTGGCTCTAGCCAGACTGCGGCTACGTTAAACGAGCTATCGCAGCAATCAGCGGAGCGCGCGTTCTCGCTAGGGACTAGCTTCGGCTGCTTTCCTTTCAGCCTGGTCTTCCCCACGAGCAATAGTTATGCACCAGAAACCTATCAGTAGTTATCGACAAACATCTCCCTCCCCTCCAGGCTGATAAATCTTGTTCTTATCTGTTGCCATACCCACGTCAGGGTCTGGGACCACTCAGCTGAACCACCTACTCCATTACATACGTGCCATTTTCTAACAGGATATTGCTTCCACTTCTTCCAGATTGAAGAAGCGGGATAAAAAAGCCACAGTGGGCATTTCTGTGTGTTTCTTTAATGTTAAGCTGCAATTCATCAAGATTACGGAGCCGATTCCAACTGCTTTGAGATGCATCACTTGTTCCGTGCATAACAGCCAACAGCTGAAGTTACTTAGAAAAGGAACTCTATAGTAACACTTGCTCCTTGAAAGTCTCTTGTGCAATGTGCTTTAGGACATATTCTTATGGCATGCTGCTGTAAGTGTTAGCTAACCGTGAAGAATTCAAGTATATTTATGTGAAGCAACATGCATTAATGTAATCAAGAGGAGAATATGGCCTGATAACCTATGTAAATAGTGGCGCGGGATACCCGTTCATTTGTAAACAGCTTGAAGCTACATTCATCCCAAGGAAAGATTAAATATCTATAGTTTATTCAACTCCGAGCTGTATACAGACACTGCCAAATACTTCCTTGCTCCCTATGAATTTTTTTCCTTTAAAGTATTCGGCCACCTTAGTAACACACCAGTCAGGCTGTAATATTTGCAGAAAGAGTACCTTGTTGCACATTGTCACCAGGTAATGAATAATGAAAGAAAACTTTGAAATCATGATTGAGAATGTTTCTACACAAACAATTGCCTGACAGTCTTGGCTCTATGAAGCATTCAACATTCTTTACAAGAATATAAAAGGACAATCAGATGCGAGTACATTTGCATCACAAATCCAGTTTCACAGGTAAAGTTTCCTGACCTTACGCTCTGCAGTCCAGCAGGCAAAGAACAGCTTAGAAATGATGGCAAATTGTTTGGAATTAAATATTCAACTAGAAGCTTCTCCTCAGTCCAGAGCGAGCTAAACTTAAAGCCTTTTGAGATCAGAAAAGTTCAATTTCCTTTAAAATCGTATCACTCCCATTTATTTTTCCTATTTCAGTTAGTTATGTGCTCCCAGGTACTAAGAGAATCTAAACACATCAGCCAACTTCAGCAACTATCAAATGCATTTTTGAAGCTGACATATTGCCCGGGAAGTCATCTTCCTGACTTTCAGTCTCATTCATTACGC